GACCATGGGACCAGGTCCCTGCAGCTTCCACGCAATTTTGGTGGGAGTTTGTTTTTTTTTGTTCCCCCGCAAGTTTCGTGGTTCTTGAAAGACCACTCTGGGCGTTTTCGCCCGCCCGAGCCCGCCGAACCACACCTCTCACCCCAGTTCACTCCACCTCATCCCACCCAAATAGACAGGGAACCAAGGCGCTGAGGGTACCCTTCCCGCCCCGCCCCCCCCCAATAAATCAGCTGCGCCCACAGAGGCCCCGTGCGAACTTGAGTGAGTGAGTACCCTTCCAAGGACAACATCCTGAAGATGTCAGACTTCGGCTTGGCCGTGGATTTGAAGCAAGGCGAGTCAGCTTTGCCAAGCCGAGCGGATGGGCTTCGCCATGTTTTTGTTTGCTTTACACCCGTATAGCGCATTTTGGATAGTCATGTGTATTTGCTTGGAAGCAGCTGATTCTTTAGATGAGTTGATTGGACACCACGTTATATGGCACATCCATCGTCAGTTCGCGTAACACGAAAGACGTTCCGTGGTTTCAACAGGGGCCTGGATGACGTGCGGGACACTGTATCTTGGGCCCTCTTGTTTGGGGAAAGAAGAAAAAACATGCCTCGAGTCTCCTTCTGACCCTTGAAAAATGAGTCAACGACCCCGTTATTTTAGGTAATGACCAACCATGTTTTAAGGGTCATGGAGACTCCAGGTGCAGAGGACATGGTGATGTGTGACTGTCTCACGTTTGTGCTTGCTCAAAGACGAAGAACCGAATGCGCGGGCTGTTCCCAAGTGACGCATGAGCTACCGGGACGATACAAGAGGCTCAACTTTACAACAACGGACCCACTGAGAGCAAAAATCTACGCCAAGCAGCCATTGTCCCACAGCTGATGAGAAGTGTGTTCCAAGTTTGAGGCTCGTGCTTTCTCGGTGGCTCCCCGCCATCCCGCAAGCCTTTTTGCTTTTTAGGTTTTAGTGGAGGTGTCCATTTCACTCACTAGAAGTTCGTCACTTTTGGCCGGGGATCTGAGGCCAGCCCAGCTTTGTATCGGGCGAATAGATCCTGCCCAGCGTGTTCTTTGGCCAACGCGAGCTCTAAATTTGTTTTGCAGGGACTGAAATGGAGCTGGGTGTGGCTCAACAAAACCGGAATTCCAAAATGGAACCCCAAGTGGAAACATGGACCAAAACCTGCGGCTTGCCCCTCCTGTTTAATTTTGAGCCACACCCAGCTGAGTAAGCCAGGCGGAGGGTACAAGAGCACCACGGCCATTGGGTGGGGAAGGCAGCTGACTTCTGGACGTGTTCAACTTACTGGTGCACAGTAGGGAATGACGCAGGCTTGCAATGAACCTAGGTATTTCCTGAAAGGAAACCATTTCACACATGCACACGGGAAGAACAGGATCACTCAACAGGCCTCCCAAATTGTCAGCCGTACAAAGCCAGGCATTTCCCCTTTTTTCCGAGTTTCCTTCATTTTCGCTCCCAACAATAATATAATATGCAGAACTGGAATTCATGTTACTGGTTGTGTAACCAAATTTGGGGCCTGAAGATTCAACTAGACAAAAGTCAGCCCTTGACACGTGTGTTTCTCAAACAAATTGGGTCCGATTCCCCCGCTTCCTCTGCCCCTTTCTTTTCTGGAGTCTCCTGGTAATGACCCCATGTTTAAAGGGTCATGGGTTATTTGAAAGTTGGTTGTGTGGTCCTTAAACATCTGCTATCTGACAACCTCCTTCCCCTTCCCCTCCACCCCAGCCCCCATGATGGAGACTCTAAGTTCCCCAATTTTGATTGACAGACTTGGATTGAAATGGGTCTGTCATTTTTTGAGGGGGACCCCCAACCTGGTTGTCCTTTTGGCTCTCCTTCGAAGCCAAAAAGCGACCAAATCGAAGAAAGACGAGCCACCCAAATGAAGGCGCCCTGCTCACCGACAAGTGCGGCACGCCAGCTTTCATGGCGCCCCGAGCCCCGGAAATGGAATTGGCGTGAGAGCTGCGCACGGAAACAATGGGGTCCCCACAGGTTGCAGTTTTACAGGGTTTCCCCTATGTCCTTGGATCCGCCAAAAGTTGGAAGGATAAACTTCAGTCAGGTGGCTCCTACCCGGTGTCGTTCAGGGCGCTGCAAAGCTTTGTAAGCGTTTTGGTGGAACCAACAGTGACTGGCTGTTGGGTGCGCCTTGTTTGGGTACGTGTGAAAAGTAGGACTTGCTTCCCAATTGCCCTTTGGCAATGTCAAGTTGTCTTGGTTCGGTCATCCAGTGGTTGTCGTTAGGAACATGGTTGTGGAGACTGCGTTTGTGGAGCCATTATTAGGATTTTGGAGCCATTTGGGATGCCAAGGGAATTCCACGTCAGGGTGGGAATCCCACGTTGGTATCACAAGGAACAGCCTCAATCGTCGTAGGAGTGCTTGCCATGGTGCAAAAGAGTGGGACGATTCCGCCTGTGGTGTTGCCCATGGTTCAGCCAGGCAGTTCCTACCCTTCGTATGCCTCAGCCTGGAAGCTTTTTTCAGAGGATGGTGAACTGGTTCAGGTTTTGGACTGTTTCAGTCAGTGAAAAAACACCTCCCCGATGTTGCTGAAAGTTTTGCGCCAAGCATGGAATTGCATCCTCCGGAATTGGGAAATACGTCTTTGCCCGATGCCCCCTGAAGAGTCCTTAAGTCTTTACTGTGTTCTCCATGTAATGATTGCAGGCTTGGCACTTGCTACTGCGGTCGTCAAAACCAAGCGTGCAAAAAGGAGCTTCCTTCCTTTTTGCTTGGGTGTCGCACAATGACCCTTCTGATCGTTTGAGTTCATCTAATGGTTGACAGCACTGCGCTGAACTTGAGTCCTTGTGTTTTGTCCGGCTGCCCATTCTCATCAAAGGCTGTGGAGGTTGAGGGAATATCGAGAACCCGAGGTTTTACAGGGAAGCCGTAGAGTTCCTACAAGCCTTTGAAGACGGCAGTCTGATCAAGACTTGGTGTTAGCCCATATTTGCGTGCTGAAATTTCAAGTCAATAGAGGAGTCTCCGTTGGGAAGGTCCATAGCCTTTTCGGTGTTAGCATTTTCCGAGAGCATCTTGCACTGGGGGTGTCCCAGAACAGGGGACCCATGTTTGGTGGTTTTCAAGGGAAACCAAAAGACCACCAACCACCTGGATGTTCTCCAAGTTTGAGAAACACCCATATGGAGGTGGGTCAAAACCAATGGTACCATGTTGGGGTAGGTGCACCACCCATTTTAGTCTATTTTGGTTGGGATTGGGATGTTCACTGGGGGTACGGGATTTTGACCCATGGCCATATGAGTAGGTTAGAACACTGGCAGCTCTTGTTACCAAATACGTTAGTAGCACACCTGCCAATCAAAGAGCAGATGCTCACTGTACTGCCCTGCAAGTTAACAGCGTACTTCCAAACAAAATGCCGTTTCTGAAAGTCGGTAAGTGGGAAGCCAGGATGAATAAGCACTTGGACGATGACCGTGGTGGGGGTCCCATTTTAGAGTGAGTCAGATCTCTTTGGGGGTGACACGCCCCAATAATCCACCAGGTTAACTAATCCGGGTCAATGTGAAGGAATGTGAACTTGCCGGCAACCCCAAAGGGGTGGCTCCCAAAGGACATTCCATTCCTTACAAGACCGTCTCGGGTGTTGGGTTGGTAACCAGGGTTTCTTACCCTGGTTTTACACTCCCAACAATAAGCATAGAATCTGCACACGGGTTCCTGGAAGGGAGCGGTTCCTGGCTAGCCGCTGGGTACCACTGCCAGGGGATCAATGGGATATTACAGCCATTGCATAGAGGGTATATATACCCAGGTTCCTCTGAAGGTAGTGGTGTGGGTGAAAGTAAATATGTGAGGGCAGTGGGGTTTCCATCTTCGAGTCCAAGGCCGGAGCAGCACCTGATGCCCGTGCACAGCCGGGGCTACAGCTTTCCGGTGGACATTTGGGCCGCCGGCGTGTCCATGTGCGACCCAAGCTTTTTCTTTTTATATTTTTTCCCTAGCGGAGGATGTGGGGGGGGCAGAATGATGTCTTGCTGCGCAAGGCGCCCAGTGTTTGACACAGAAACCGCCTTTTAGATGTTGTTCCAGGGGAATTGGGCAAGGCGGGGGTTCGAATCCCCGAGTCCATGCTTGAAGCAATGGATTCAGGATGTTGCCACGTGGCTTTTGTTGCGTGCCGAGAGGTTGCGCTGGAAGTAACCAACTCAGCTGTGCTTTGTTTCTTGGACCCAATGAAATTATGGCCAATTCCATGGGTTCATTTCCCTTGTGGAAGCCACTGGGGTCAGAGACAAGAAGGTCATGAGGGTTTTTGAAAGCAGGTTTTCCATGGATGAGTTTTCTATTGGTTGGCTTTTAAAGGGAAACCACAAGGGAACCCCAACCATTCTTGTTGGTCCTCTAACAAAGACACCCCCACATCGCCAAGGGCAACTCGGCACTTCGGTTCGCCGCTGGAGTCTGGTAAGTTGACATGGGCTCCCCAAAATGTCCACTGGGTTTCCCCTCTTGGAGGATTCCTTGTGTCAGGCTTTGGGTCTACTTTCAAGTCCAAATGCATCCGCCGTTGGGAAGTGTCCTCAGAGGGGGCCAGGTCTTGCAGCCTGTTGGCTCCTGAGCTCCCTGTGGGTCTTGCAGCTTGCGAATTGTTCCGTGCTTACTCTGTCCTCAAGTCAGGGAGTCCGTGTGGATATGGCGCTTCGAAGGAACCCGAAAACTGGCCACTAGCGTTTTTGTCCCCCAAAGTGGAAACCAACTCACTTCCCTGAGTTCCTGGACTTTTATAACTTTTTGGGGAGACCATTTTAGGGGTCAACAACAATACAGGAACCATTTTAGTGGTAATCCCCGTGCTTGCGTACTTTTCGGGTACTTTTTCTGGCCAATCCACGAAATGTGAGCCCACTGGATGGGACTTCCCGCTGCAGTTGCCGCGTTTCGGCCCTAAGAGCCCCCCCCGTTTCGGGCGCTTTCAGTCCGTTTCCTTCTGTGCCATGGGGGGCGTGGTGTGCCGGCTGTGCTGTGGCCGGCCCTATGAGACGGGAGATATCCTGGACTCACCGGGCAAGCCTTGGCCCTACAAGCAGACAGAGGACAATCGGGCATGTGTGTGTGATTGTGTGATTGTGTGATTGTGTGATTGTGTGTGTGTGTGGGTGGGTGGGTGGGTGGGTGGGTGGGTGGGTGGGTGGGTGGGTGGGTGGGTGGGTGGGTGGGTGGGTGGGTGGGTGGCTGGGTGGCTGGGTGGCTGGGTGGGTGGGTGGGTGGGTGGGCCGGGGGCTCTGTACAAAGGCATTTAGCAATTATGACGCAAGGATTACTTGGGGATCTATACTCCTTACAGGGAGCTCTTCACAGCGTGTCTGTGTGTGTGTATGGGTTTTCACCCCCTTCTGGGCCTTGGTTGGAAGGGAAGCCAACCAGAGCACCGCTTTTAACGGATTTGGAGCGTTGGAGCGCTTTTCTTCTTGACGGTGCACCCCAAGTTTGGGCCGTTTCTTTGGACTAGGTTCTCTTTTCCGCGTTGGATTAAAGGGAAGCCGCAGATAAGACCGCCACTAGAAAGGTCTTCCTTGGTCTAAAGGGAAGCCAAAAGGAACACAGAAAACCATCAGGCTAACCAACGAACACCATTTCCGGGCTCTTCCCTTTTCTTTTGGCCAAATTTCGTTTCCCGCAAGCCTTCTGCAACTGCTCCAGGCATATCCCCCCGTTCCTGGAGGGTATGACACCATGTTGTGAGAACTGCCACCTGCCTCCTGCTTGGTTCAGGATTTTAGCCTGTTGTTTCACGGCTTTTTGCCCAGAGTAGGCTGCTCTAATCTGTTGGCCCAAAATCACATATTTTATACTTACTCCGTGTTTTTTTTGCAACCGCAACATGTGCCGGCTGAACCCCCCCCCCCCCAAATTGCAGTTGCTTTTTTGTTTGAAAACAAGTGAGTAACAGTCAGTTCACATGGACCCCTTGTTTGTGTCCCCATGTGGACATCTGGAGATGTTCTACGGGTAGATTCCCGATTGTTTTAGGAATCCGTCTTTTCAGAAATCCATCAAAACAATGAAAACAATGCCTGGTGTCCGAAAATTGAAAAGAATGGGGAGTCAACCCCTAGAAATGTGTGCCAACTGTACCTATCGAAGGTTGGTGCTGACTCATTCTTACTGACAAGGTTTCATGCTTTCCCGAGGACATGGTTGGCTCTGCGGCCTCCTGCCGGGATCGCACCTCACCTTCCTTCAGAGAGACATCCCATAGAGAAAGTGAAGTGCTCTGATAGACAAAGTGAAGCGATTTAGATGTATTACATCTACTGAACAACTAAATCAAGAAATATATATATATATACATACATACATACATACATACATACATACATACATACATACATACATACATACATACATAACTGCATGCATGCATGCATGCATGCATGCATGCATGCATGCATATCATCTACAATTCTGCATACATATTGATGTGTTGCATGCGAGATAACTAAGAACACCTGTCCTAACATGCATACGTTGCTTACCTTCAGTTGCACAATCTGCCTATGATCAAACATCCACAGGTTTGCCGATGGTGCTGGGACTATGTGTATGTATATATATATATACATATGCGTGTATATATATATGTATATGTGTATATATATATATATAGATACCCGTCCATACATGTGTGCAAGTGAATATGCAGATACAAACAATTGGTACGCGTACGATTTGTGACGTTGGAGTGTGATTTTGTTGGGTTTGCTTCTTCTGAATGGGTTCAAGTTTGTCCCAGCTGCAATTCCGTGCTCTTCGGAACTGACCAATGTAAAGAAGTACTGCTCCCAGTTTGTTTTGCTTGTTTTGTTGTTTGCTTTTCCGACCTTTGACCTTTCAAGCAACCCTGAATTGGTGATTTGGATTTGTGTTTTGGACTCGGACTTAAAGCGCTGGTTCTTGTGGGTATATGGGTTCCACAACCCTGTGATGAACACCAAACCCCCGACTGAAACCACCAATCAGTGGGAAGTGAGACCTTGCTTCGCCCCCTCACTTGCAGAAAGCGCTTTTGGGGGGTCAAAGGCAACGCTTTGACTGTGACTGTGACTAGCGCGAAGGACTGTATCAACCCTTATGCAATTGGTACAATCACAGGGTGAGATCGCCCAGTCCCAGCCCCGCCGCAGCCCCTTTTTGCCCGACCACACCATTGCTGAGGCACTTTTTGTTGTGTGTGAGTCAACTGTTGCTGAGACAACTACGTGAATTCGGCGGAGCTAGTCGAGCTTGTACTTCCCTTGCCAACCATGATTAAACACGTATATCCATTGAAGCGCAAGGTTGCGGAAGACCATAGCTTTCTGACCACTTTCCGTGATTTTAAGGGAGTCTCTGTTTTCAGCGACAAAGTAGTGTTAGGGATGAAATGGACTCCCATGTCACAGCACGGGGCTAGCAACAACCATGCTGCATCAGCACCCAGAGTTGGTCCCTTTGCCAGCTACATCTGGTCTTCATAGTCCACTCATAACCTTCCTAAAGCAAACACAACCAGAATTCTGTTATACGCCGCGAAGCATACCTGATCCTTCACAACTCGAAAGCATCCTTGAACTCGGTGTGTCAGAATGAATCCTTAATCCTTATGCCAGATGGTGGTGGGTTCTGTTGTTGTGGTGTCACACTACGGATTCCGGATTCGTCATCCCCGCTGTTTGCATTGTCTACTTACCAGTGCCATCTAGTTTACCAAAGGGTCACTTTTTTTGCCTGCCTCCAGCAAAAACTGGCAGGAATGAGATTCGGAGTGAGGCAACCACATCCCATCTGGACTTAAGTTCTCCATGTGAGCCACAATCAAAACACGAGTAGATGAAGGCTAGTCAGGGACAATCCCAACCAATAGCTGCGGATATCCGCCTTTTCAATTCTTCGCCTGGTTCTGGGATTTCCATTTCACTCCCGGGTTTTGACTATGACTGATGTCTTGTTTGTGGATCTGTGACTCCCAGGTTTTGACTATGACTGATGTCTTGTTTGTGGATCTGTGACTCCCGGGTTTTGACTATGACTGATGTCTTGTTTGTGTATCTGTGACTCCCGGGTTTTGACTATGACTGATGTCTTGTTTGTGTATCTGCGACTCCCGGGTTTTGACTATGACTGATGTCTTGTTTGTGGATCTGTGACTCCCGGGTTTTGACTATGACTGATGTCTTGTTTGTGTATCTGCGACTCCCGGGTTTGACTATGACTGATGTCTTGTTTGTGGATCTGTGACTCCCGGGTTTTGACTATGACTGATGTCTTGTTTGTGGATCTGTGACTCCCGGGTTTTGACTATGACTGATGTCTTGTTTTCGGGTTTTGATTAGGCAACTACGTGAACTTCATGATGATGATGACCTTCATGGGCTTTCCCAAGGTGGAGGCCTGGGAGCGGTGTATCCCCTTCGAGTCCCAGGCAGGGCGATGAGGGGGGGGGGGGGTTGGGTTGGGGACGGATCAAGCATGGTCCTGGATGAATAGGGGGTATTTGTTTTTATTGGGCATTTATCAACATGTTTATTGGGTATTTGTTTTTATTGTATTTGTTTTTATTGAACATGTTGTTGGGAGCTATTTTTTGTTGGGTCGGTTTGAAAGGGAAACAAGAAGGAAACCGTCGCCATGTTGGTCCCCGGAGTTGGAGAGATTCCCGTGTTTTGCAGGGAAGGCGAGTTACTCAATTGCCCAAAGAGATTCCCATGCTTTGCAGGTTACTCAGTTGCCCAAAATATGGCTTTTTGGTTTCCCTTTGTTGGAAAATTCTGTTTCGTCGAGCTCCACCAAGGTGAACCGTTTATTTGGGCAAGTGAGGTGTTTCAACACTTGTTTGAACTTGTATGTATGAGGTTCTTGAGACACATCCATTACTCCACCTAAACCTTGTTTCTCTTTGAAAGTGGACAAACCAACCACATTTGTTTGGTTTGGTTCCCTAGACACAACCCCCACCCCACACCCCAGCCCCACCCACGGCTTTGAGTTTCTCTCTGGACCGACTTTGTGTCAAGCCCCCACCCCCCACCCCACCCCACCCCCCACCCCCCACCCCCCCAACTCCCCACCCCCCACCCCCCCAACTCCCCACCCACCCCCCACCCTACGACCCCATCCCCCCGGGCCATTCGCCCCATTGCCGTTTCCCGCCAGGCCTCGCCCTTCGTGCAGGGCCTGGGGCTCTTGGAGCAGAGCCAAGGCAACACGGAGGAGGCCATGGCCAAGGCCTCGCCTTCGGTCGCGTGGCGCGTTCGGGCGCGTTCGCCGGGCTCGGAGCGGATCCGAAACAAAATTGGGCGCTTGGAGGGAGCGAAACGAAATGAATGAAGCGAAATGGTGGAGATGTCGGCGTGTCGCGTGGAATCGAAGCTGGTTGGCAGGGAGCCGGACTCGGAGCTGGGTATCCAAATGTGGCTGGGAGGGAACCAATTTGCCTGGGGAGCCTTTTCACAGAAAGCTTAAGAGGAAACTGATCCTCAGCTTCCCCTTAGTTGGTGGGCTGGAGTTTGAAGCAGTATGGGGAAGGTAACCCCTAACGTCCAAACCACACCAAACCAGCTCCTTGCGGAGCTGTACCCGTGAAATGGTTGAGCCCTTCTTGCGCTTGTTGGGTACGAGTTTCACGGGAAGCCAAAAGGATTTTGGGTCTCTTAGTTGATCAGACCTCCCTTCTCCCCCCCCCCCCGCAGCAAAGGTCCAAACTCGCCACATCAATATGGTGCTTGCAGGTACCTTTGCCCCGCCCGCAATCCAAAGGTGTGAGTGACCACAAGAAATGCAGCAGTGTCCTCCGTGGTATTTAACAGCTTTAAGATATCCCAAATTGCCCAAACCACCTCTCAAACATGTAGATTTAATTTGCTAAATTAAGTACAAAAGCACAACAAACATGCCTTCTTTCATACACACCTGCTTCCTCAAAATAGAGGACCCCGCCTTCACTCTCCTAAAGGAAGCCAAAAGGAGACCATTTGTTTGTTGAGTTCCCTTTGAAGCACACCCACATGTCAAACTCGCCAAGGGTGTGGGTCCTATACTGAGCCATAATAAGGCAAGCCATGGGAGGGTTACGACGACCAATGGTCCGTAATGCCCCCGTCTTCCTTGTGGCTGTGATTCAGTATATGCATCAACAATTACAAGTCACCAATCACACACGCATGCATTATATATATATATATATATATACACATGTGTATCTTGTATCTATATAATTCTATATATATATATATATATACATATACACCTACATATATGTGTGTAATATGCATATCCTATATATTTATGTGTATATATATAATATATATATATATGTATATATATATATATATGTATATATACACATGCAACTGCCCCTTGCCCGGTGATTCAGTACATCAACAATCACACATCGTCAATCTTACACATGCATACTAATATATATATATATATACGCCTACATATATGTATGGTATACATATATATATATATATATATATTTGCAAACACCCCCAAAAGCTTTCGGGTTGCCGGCAGGTAGCGGAGACCTTGAAGAAGGGCAAGAGCGTCATCGTGGGCTCGGTGCGGATGGGCTACGGCCACCACCGCATCGCCTACAGCGCGCTGACCTGGGCCTTGGAGCTCGGGGGGGAGCCCTACCTGCTGGCGCCTAGTTTGGCCAACGAGGGAAATGTTCCGTGTCCAGTTCTGCGGAAAGCAACAAAAGACACAAGGGAAGCCTCTGGTCAAACAAGGGAAGTCCCGTTTTTTGAAAAAGCTCTCTTTGAGTATCCATTCTTTTGATGTTCCCCAAAACGTTTAAAGCTTGCTGGGGAAGTGAGATGACAAGTGAACATAGGGTTTGCGAGATATATGCTCCGTTTCTTCCCCAGAACTAGCTCCCGTTCTTGATTTTTGGTTTTTTGGGGTTTCCTTTGTTTTTCGCTAACCAGGCGAAAAAGATAATTTGTGTTGGGGTCCTAATTCCTTGTGGCTGGCAAAGAAGCATGGACACCATTTCCCTCGGCTCGGAGCAACGAGACGATTCAGCTTTTGGTGAATACTGTGGATGGAGGAAATCCAATTCGCACCTCCTAAGAAACCATGGTTGCAACCCACTTGTTTGTTGAAATCATCATGCCAGGGTTTCTTGGGTGGTGTTGGATTTCTGTTGGTACTTCTTTGGGACTCATCATGTTCCAGGGTTTCTTGGGTGGTGCGAAGAGGATTTCGTCCATCCACGATAGGTCCTTTGTTCCTTTAGGGAAACCACAGGGGATGGAGTGAAGACGGCGCCTCGGGATGAGTTGGCGTCGGCTCGTTTCGTTGAGCGGCGGTCGGGCCACCAGATCACGTGCTCAAAACCGAGACCGGGTAGACGAATTTTTATGAAGGGACGATCCTCTTGCACCACCCGAGCCACAATCAAAACCCGGGTGGATGAATGTTAGTAAGGGACAGCCCCATCCTAACCACAAAATCGCTGCGGATATCCGCCGTCTAAAAAATTGAAGCATGGTTCTGGGCTTGGACCATTTTAAGACTGGGGTTTGATTGTGACTCACCTAGGACTTCCTTAGGACATGAGGCAAAGTAGCGGCAGGCTTGCGATGGGTGCGAGAGGTAGGGAATGACCGAGTCCGGCGTTTTGGGAAAGAACCGCAACGGGATGCCCTTAAAGGAAACCATAGGAAACCACAGGGAAGATGGAGCCTCGGGTTGAGCGAAGTCGGCGTTGGATCGTGGACAGCTAGGCTCACTTGCCGGGTTTGCCGAACTTCGGTAGAGACTCATATTAATATTAAATTCAGCTTCACTTTGCCTTGGGGCGCAGCCAAATACATCAGCTGCAAAGAGACTGCGAGCCGTGACTCGTGAACAAATGGAAAACGCGGGATGAGGTTCTTATGAAACAGCAACATTGTACAGATCTGGAGCTCGTACTTGGATGCTGAAATCAGATCTACCGGTTTTGGTTGCCGTTGACAAATATTTAGTGTGGGGTCCCCTTGCGTGGTCTAGAATATTTGCTTGCCTTTTGAAGTGTCCGAGTATTTGCACAGTGACGCCGTAGCGGTGATTCGCTTTTGTTTGTCTATGTGGGAAGAGCCGAACCCGCCGTTTGCCCTCAGGATATTCTGTCGCCCGATTGCGTGGAAGCCGCGGTCGTGCGTAACATGGACAAGCAACTCGCCAGACCGATGAAGTTTTGTGCATGTGTCAGACACCTCCTTAAAGCGGGCTCTTGGTGTTTGGATCAGGGGTTCGTGGGCTGCATTGTTTGTGGAATCACAGAACACATAAGCTCACGGATACCCAAAGAACAGACAAGGCGTCAGTCAAGAAATGTGGAGTTGCGACGAAATCAAGCATGGTGCCATTGGTCAAAACTCCAAATTTGACACTGCCACCAAATCAGGCATGGTGCATGAAATCAAGCTGTTTGCTTCTGTGTTTGACAGACAATGCATTTTCTTTTTCAAGGCGGTATTTCCATGCAAGGGAAAAACCTTCAGGATGTGTTTTTCGCCAGCAAGGGGTCAGGCGGGAGTGGCATGTTGTTCCCTAGACCAGCCTGGGCTGAGGCAGTACTCCCGCATGTCTCGCATTGCCTCGAACATCGGCGGCGTGGTCGATGCCATGTGGGGCAAGATGATGCTCCAAGGGGACGCCAACGCCCTGAGATGCGGCTTGGAAGGGAGGCGCTCGTTTTTTTTGGGGTCAGGGGGAATGCGCGCGCCCATGCTGTAGGTCCTGTGCCTGGGAATGCCTTGCTTTACGTTTTGGAAGACTCACAGTTGCAGAATCCATAAAAAACCTGGATTGCTGAAGGTTCGTACCAACCGGACATTTTTTCTGATCGCCCTTGTGATTCGCATTTTATCCGGGTCAACTCTGTTGCCCAGTGGTGCCCTTTTTGGGTGTAAGGTTCCCCTTTAAACCCAACCAGCAGAAGGGTGCCCATTCCTTTTTTCCCATGCGCATCCACTGGGCTGAGTCAACATGAACCGGGGCTGAGTCGGAGAGCCGAGCCGAACCTCACGGAGCTCAGGTTGCCTGTCCCTGGCGCAGCGCATCCGCGGCATCATGGCGGCCTTCCCAAAGGAGCGAGCCGATGCCGAGCCGATGCCTCGATGGATTCCTCGAAATCGGAGGTCAGATGGTCTCAGGTGGAAAACCCCAAACGTTGGGGGTGACTTCCGCTTAAGAGTATGTTATTTGTTTTGTTCTTTTCCGCTGTTGGATTTAAAGGGAATCTATCACTACCAGAATTATGTTGATCTTTTTCCAACGGACTTGAAGTGGCAGTGCCTCGAAATGAAAGAGCTAGGGCAAGCCGCAGGTGTGTTTGAGCAGCATGGTTGGGGGCTGGGGCGGAGGGAGGAGAGGGGGGAGGGACCAAATATGCCCTTAATACGGCCTTGTTTAGTGCTTATTTGGGCTCCCTCCCCCACTCCCTCCCTCCCAGCCCCCATGAAGCATGGTTGGGATGAATCCCTAAGGTTGCTGTCTCAGATGTCGGGTCCGAGTTGGACCTTCGGGTTGGGTTCATCAGCCCTGAGAAGCTGCATTTTCACTAGGGCGCGCATGAAGGGGTTGGCTTTTTCTTTTTTGGGGGGACCCAACTGGGGTCTCCTCAAAAAGTGGATGCTAAATGGTTGCGGGTCAAAATTAAACCACCAGGAATTGAACCGCAGGTGGTAGTCAATGTTTACATTTACCAGGTCTTATTTTGGGGGTTGGCCTATTGTTGACCACCACTGCCACATATGAAGAGCCCAAGCATTTGCTGTGTGTTTCTCGGCGCCCTGCTTCAAGCCACCAAAGGGTTTGGTAGGGCTCCGATCCATGAAAAATGGTGTCGCTAAATCGCGTGGTGTTGTTTTTTTCAGTTTACCCCAAGCATCACAAAGGACCCCCTTTGCTGTTCCATGACTTTTTAGGGTAAGGTTCCAGACCCTTGTTTTTTTTTTTTGGATCGATCCAAAGGAGGTTGTTTAAACAAAGTGTTCATCATGTTTGAGCAAAGGGGCTGTCCCAAGCGTGCTCACAATGTGACAATGTGTGTCTCATGCTGGGGTTGCAAGTTGCTCAGTGCATTTCACCCTTGTTTGTTCGATAGGTTCGGGACACACTAGAAATGGAATCAATGAATCCTAAGAAGAAACAGTTCACGTTTCTACCAGGGCGACTGGGCAATTGCTCCCCCCCCCCCGCCTGCGAGAGTGGCAATCGGTTTCGGCTTGGTTTCTCTTTAATGGAAACCCGGATGAATAACTTGCTGGTTCCTCTTAGTCGGGGGGGTTCAGACCACTTTTGGAGGGAACACACCCCCTTTGAACAGGGCTTCACTCAAAGAGCTATTTTACATCCCTTTTGACATCGTCAATGGGGCTGTGATTGTCCCATAATGATGTCCGAAACCTTGTCAAAGTCACATCCCCCGCAAAATCGACCCTGGCAATGTGAAATGGGGTGAATAACTTCCTGATCCACTTCCATGATTCTTTGAAAGAGGGCACTCCCCGTAAATTCACATGGAACAAACAAATGGGGCCCACAAAGGAACACCCTCTAAGCATTGAAGCTTTTTCGCCGTTCTCTGTTATATGTTCATCGTTTTGTTGATTGCAACGCACGGGTCTTTGTGCTGTTTCGCTTGATTCAAAAGGAGCCCAAAGAAATGCCAACGCACAAGTTAGGATGAACTGGGCTTAGACGAAAATGGACTTGGTTACCAAAGAGATGGGTAGTCGGATCGAATACTCTGGTAACAGGGAACTGGTTCATCGAGGCTTGCCCATATGGAAAGTCGTTTTTCCACGCCGGCATGTTTCTGCCGCCTCTTGGCACTGCGCAGCCGTCCGGGTACCTAGGTGTTGTTAGGTTTTTAGTTGGTTTGGTGGTTGGGTTTCCGTATTAGCCCACTACCTCTTAGATGTGTTTGTTTGTTTTAGTTGGTATGGTTTCCACATGCAACCCACTAATCTATAGGGTTTCCATATGTAATCCACCTCAAGTGTTCGTCACTGGCTCAGAGCATGGAGAGCCGGTCAGGACGTGCCGGTGATCAGCTCCCATCCCATCGTGGGGAACATGGCGGTGGCCTGTGGCCACCCGAGTTGCCATAGCTCGCTCGCTGCGGGAAAGGGGCGGGGTTCGGGTCCGTCTCTGGGTTTCTGTTGACTGCACTGTGGCTGGATCTCCATGTTTTTCGCAGTTTTCGGGTTTTCTCAGGTTTTCTGGTTCGGTTAGTTCTCAGGTTTTTTCAAAGGTTTTCTGGTTCGATTTGTTGCTTTGATGACTGCCCCGACTGCTGGATGATGTTGTTTTGTCCAATCTTGAATCTTGCAGGTTGTTCTTTTTCGGTTTGCTGGTTTGATATTTTAGTGGGCTGCAAAAAAATCCAGCTTCAAGTTGTTTTGCTAGAATACCGCAAGGGTTGGACAGATGGAATTATGATAGCTGCCCAGTTTTAAGGCTGACAACTATGAAACCGCCTCAAAACATGCTTTCTAGGCGCACATGCTTTTCAGGCGCACATGCTTTTCTGTGGACCCCGGATGGCCAAGTCATAGATCTCCGGTGGCTTGCTTCTCTGTGAGGAGCTGTTCCTTCAAGGTCACGCAGGAAGAATTGGCAATTGGCAGTTGGTAAGGATGGTTATTTTCCAGGTTTTAGTATGTTTTTTGTTTCTTTTTGCCTACCTGCGTGGGTTGGACCGAATTCCATCGGGGCTTGCCCAAAGGGCAAGCCATGTTTTCCAGGTTTTGCTATGATCGCTTTAGTTTGCCTGCGTGGGTTGGATCGAACACCCTGATACGGACCATCACAGCTTGCCAAGCAGGAAAGTCCATTTTCCGCACCTTCCGTCGACTTCTAGAGGGACGGTCTGAATTTTGGTGCTCCGAGTCAGACCTCAGGTGGGTGGTGTCATTTTGGGGACTTTAAATTTGAGACCAAGGGTCATAGGCAGTTCCTTACCCAACAACCGCCCCACCAATTGCGAATGAGAGTGCAGGTAACTGAAGGGAAAATGAAACCTAGACAGTGATTTGATTTGGATCGAACTGGTCCCCAACCCCGTTCGTTTTGCTGGTCCCTTGTGGTATTACTTTTGGTTTACGGAGAACACCTTGGAGTTTGTGTTGAGGGCGACCAAAAGCACGCCAATTAATCTTGATCCCGGATGAATCAGCCTGTTCTATGAATGGGGGGGTGTACCCCTCCAATAGTGATGAATCCCCACCACCCCCTGTGACAAAACTGGGGTGTATTCATTTGGGGGTCCCCATTTTATTCGGGAGGTCTTCCATTTGGGAAGGAGTCTCGATGGACCCTTTGCGCAGACTAGTGCGTGTTTCTCCCGAAACCCGCTGGAGGTCCGGTTTTGGTGCGCAAGATTTCCAGTTGCTTGATATGTTTTGTCTTCCCCCTGCTGGATTTTTTTCGGGGATCTATCACTGGAAACCGCTTTCTTTTTCCAGCGGGCTCAAGCTCATGGAGGGTAAAGAACGTTGGGTTTAGTTCAGTATTCCGCGTCAATCCTCGTGAGAGTACTTGTACGTTTCGTGGTTGGACAAGCTGGTTGAAGAACACTTTTGTTGGAAAATGGCACAGAATCGGCGCCAGGGGCAATAAATGCCGTGGTCTATGGAAAGGTTTTCAGGCAGGTCCGAGGCTGGAAAACGTCTAATGTTGACCTAGGATTACTAAACCCATCCCATTATTAGGGGGGTGTTCCCTTCAAAAGTGATAAATCCCTACTAAGAGGGGACACCCCCCTATTAATCAACCAGGGGTTTATTAATCCATGGTTAACATTATGGTTCACACAAGGGTCAAAGGGCATCCCAGAGCCCCAGACTCCAAAAAGGCTCGCAGCGTTCAGTCGACTGGGTTGAAGCGCTATAGCGGCTGGTGACAAGGAGGTTCTGAGGAAATCATAGTGCAATGACTCAGTCTGTTCTCATTATGTCTCAAAAGTGCTTCTTTTTCATTTTGTTTGCTTTTTTTTTTTTTTTGGGGGGGGGGCGGGACGGTTTTAATTAAAAGGGAAGCTAAATGCAAGCAACCATATGCGTGGGGTCCCCCAATCTACCACAAGTTTCTGTGAGTGTTGGTGATGATCGCTGTTGCGTGTCTCTGGCTTTGTGAGTCTTTGGCTGGTCAGCATGCCAATGAGGGGTACACCGCATATGCCCACAACGGCACACTGGCTGCCGAGCCACAGAGAGATTCAGACATGCCAATCGAGTTGCATGCCAGCCTGTGCTTTTCAAGCTTTATTTGGGGGGTTCGGGTTGTATGAGCCACCACGTAGCAACGAGGAAATTGAGGACCACATGCGGCTTGTTCCGTGCTGTCCCAGGCTTCAAGACTGTCATCAATTTGGTCTTCGACAATTACCCACAGCCGCGTTGGACGCAAGTTGAAGGGTCAAGACGTCCAGCCATTAGCCTCACACGCACGGTGCCACGGGTTTGGCATATATGTGAAACTTGAAGCATGGTGGAACCGGCCCCAGGCGCGATTCCAAAGCCTTTTTTCTTGTTTTTTTCCGGCCCCGGAAATGAACAAAAAGACAGTCTCTGGAGGGAGCCCTGGTCCAGGTCCAGGGTGAGAATCCAAAACACAAAAACACTAGGGTCCCGAGAATGCGAATTCAACATATGGGAATTAGCAAAAAGCACCGGAGCCAAAAAGAATATGCTCAACCTAGAGGATGTCTAGATTTCCGATGGTTGACAGGTCTTGCTATATTCCTTTGGCACGTCTGATACTCTATTGAGGAAACCTGGTCGTTTTGTAGGTGCATGTCAGAATGCAGTAGCGCATGCCTTCTCGTGCTGAACATGCCGGTGCTTGAACTGTGGACCCTGTGGAGCAAACTTGCTGACTCGGTGGGTCTGTGTGTGTGTGTGGGTGTGTGATTATCTATGCAGCTTTTGATTCCCCATTTACCCCCAAGAAAAACCTCAAAAAAAAAAAAGTATATAAAAGAGAGTGTCAGACAATTGGCGGAATTTCTTGGGGCATCTACCCTCGCTGCCACTAGCATTGCAGCACCTCACAGGGGGTTCCTTTAAGAGGGAGCTGATCTTCCAGGTACCCTCCCGCAGGTGGTACGTTAGTCGGGGGCAAGGTAAAATGGGTGTGGCTCAAAATTGAACAGGAGGGGTTACGCAGGTTTTGGTCCATGTTTCCACTTACCAGGGTTCCATTTTGGTACCGGCTTTTTGAGCCACAGCCAAATGTTGTCTAGTGGTATGGCTCGTTAAAGCTGGCTGCAAGTTGGAGACAGACACTAGCTGTCGGATCACATGTACGTTTGTACAGGCATCAAGGCGACCGGTGAGTGAGGCGTCGTCGCACATCTTGTGTAGGTTTACGGTGCTTCGCCCTGCCGATTACAATCATTTCAGTTGAACATGTTGTTGGGCCACTCACTCCCTGAGTTTCTGGACTTTAAACTTTGTGTGCAGACCACGCAACATTTGTTTAAACACAATCAGACTTTGTTTGACCCATCCACTCAGGAAGTGAGGCCAGCGTATCTTTATGGCTATTTTTTTCGATCTTTGGATGAAGCAGTGGATTTTCTAAATTGAAATCACAAAATGATGTTTTTTTTTTTGCAGAGGGGTCAGCAGCAACCAAGATATAGCAGTACTTCCAGGCAAGCCACTATAGTAGGCGACCCTGATTTCTTAGCTCTAGGTCTTGCATGGTTCCCCGTGGGTACCTATTGCCTATGAACAGATAGATAGATACTGTGGATGGACGAAATTCATTTCGCACCACTTTGAGACAATGGTTGACACCATTATTTGTTGGTATTTACAGGGGAATCGGCACTCCAGGGTTTCTTAGGTGGTGCAGGATTTCGTCCATCCACAGTAGGAGAGATAGGTAGAGAAATGGAAATATAGAAAGATAGAGATGACGGAGAGTGGCGGCTAGATCGACTAGAATCGATGAGATTAGACAGATAGATAGGTTAGGATAGATGGATGAATAGGAGAGTTAGATAGAATATAGGTAGGTAGATAGACCGACAGACAGATAGATAGATGGTGAGATTAGCTTAGAGCAGGCTATTATTAGATTAGCGACATCGGATGCGTAGGTAGACACCTAGATATGCGAATAGATGCGCAGGTGTGTAGATGCAGAGATGGATAGACAGATAGAGAGGTAGAAGTAAATCGACGCATGGTGGCACCTTGGGGCCAGTTTCCCTAAACCCTAAACCCCTAACCCCCTAAACCCTAAACCTCTAAACCCCCAAACCCCAAACCCCAAACCGCAACATGTTTTTTCTCGGGGGTTTTGCCCCAGGTATTTCGTGCTGGTTCCGGGTGCCATCAACCTGGTCCAGTCCCCCAGCTACTTCGACAAGCTCTTGGACATGGGCTGCGCAGCACCTCTGACCGGAAAAAAAGTCAGCGCGGCGGCGTTGAAATGATGGTCTCACGAGCGAAGTTTTTTCCCCACAGCCCCTAACCTGGAGTCTGACAGGCGGTCCCTTTGAAAAGAAAATCCCCCCCCCCCGCACAGCCCCTTGAAGGATGCCCTTCTAATTACCAGCCAACATAGACGCTGACCCCCCGAACGTCAGGTTCCATGTGAAAAGGGTGGAAGGATACATCCTCAGCTGGCTGGTGGCGTGTTTTTTTATCATGGGCCTTTCGGGGTGTCTTTGTCACATCGGCTTCAGTGGCTCCGAAAGTTGGGGGATGCAAATGGTGTCACCTGGGATCTGTTGATGAGGTCCATGCAGCTGGGGATTCTTTGCGTTGAGGTCCATTGAGGCTCCCCATTAAAAAGAATAATCACACCCAGGTGGTTCATAAGGGGAAGCTGCCGGGGGGGGGGGGAATTCTGACAGTTAGATGAATCACACCCAGGTGGTTAATACTTAACACACGCTGGGGAAGCTGCCGGGGGGTGGGAGGAGGCTCGCAGATTTCAGGGCTTCGTCTTCTTTTCCGTTTTGTCCAAGCTTTTTGTTCGTTCGTAACGAAAAGCTGCCGGGAAAAAATACTAACAGTGGTATTAAAAAGAAGAATCACACCCCGGTGGTTCATAATCAACAAACGCCGGGAGGGAGGTGCGGGATCTTCTAGCAGTTGGGCCGAAAGGAAACGCCACGTCCGATCAGAAGAAGTGACTCTGTTTCCGTGGGAACGAATGGAATTTCAATGGAAAGCCAGGCTTTGACAACTAACCAAGAGGTACTCAGACCCCTTTTTACCCCCCCAAAAGCCACTTGGACCCTCTGGGTAAGAGGATCATTGCCAACTTGGATCCACTGAAACGTGCCCGTTGCTTTTCTGTTCCCAGGCGAAGTCTCTACGTCTGGCTGGGCATTGGGTGTCCAGCGATCTCTGCCTCAACACAAAGGCGGACTCCGAGGCGCAGCGTGGTGTTTGAAGGCTGCGAGCTGGGTGTGGTTGCTTTAAGGGGTTGGACCCCCAAAACGGTCAGTTTCCTGTTGGTTGTTCTTGGAAAACCGACCCAAAAAGGGGTTCCCCCCCAAAAAAAACCACGCACACATAGGGCGAACTTTGAATTTTAGGAGTGGGAGCCCCCGCCAAAAGTGGGTGGTGGACCTTGTTGTCCGCAGGTCAGTAAACTTGAAGTTCGCACCCACATGGGTGGCTGTCGTCCTTCCGGCTGATATTGAAGCCCAAAGCAAGTCGAAGAAAGGGGATGTTCCCTCGATTTGAGACACCAAGATTTGGGGTCTGGGTCTATTGAGAAAATAAGGATCTCTGACAATGAGGGAAGTACGAGCTGCGGACAACCAGCGATGTGGCTTCTGTTTGTTGACAAGTGTAATCACCCCCCCAGGCTGATCGATAGCAGGGTGTCCCAATTTGAAGGGAATCCTTGTGTGGAAGGAAGCACTCCCTTAAGAATCCACCAAGTTGATCGACATGAGTTTTTCCGCGGCAGTTGATGTGTCCATTGATTCGCCTGCAAAAACGGGTGCTTGATTTCTTGTTGCTTGTCAGTCATGAGAACCCTTGTTAGAATTCCTGGAGGAAACCAACCAGAAAAGCAAGGGGTTGTCCTTGCAAACCAGCCATGAGAACCCCTGACAAATGGAGGAAACCAGCCAAAAGCTAGGTCTTTCTTGAACAGCTTGGGCACACCCCTGACAAATTCAGGACACCAACCAAAAGCTAAAACAGCTTGGGTTTCCTCGCATAAAAGCTAGGGGTTTTTCTTGCACACCCGCCCAGACGGGGACCTGCAAACCGGAATCCGCGGGCTCCGCGAGGCGCGGCTGCAGCGCATGGAGAAGAAGCTGCCGCGGCGGTTTTTGATCGCGGTGGGGGGCGCCGGCGCGCAGCGGGCCTTCCTGGAAGGATTGCTGGGAGGCGCCGGGGTGGTGACGTTTTGGAACAATTTTATGGGAAAGTAAGCATTACAGTGACGAGTTTCTTTGAATTCAGAATCCTTTTAAACTTTGCTCTTTGTTTTTCATGTACATGCTTAATGACAGGATAGGAAATCGGGAGCCTTAGGGTTGTTGTGAAATCCTGGCTGGAGTGGTTGGGTTCGGGGGTGGTTCGGGGTTGCTTGGGCGATTGGTTGGGTGGTTCTTGGGTGTGCAGTTTGCTTGTTGGGTGGCCGTGGGCCGTGGGTGAGTTTGCGGTGACTGTTAGTTGTTGGGTGATTCTGGAGCTGTTGTTGCGTGACTGGCGGGTGATTTGTTGAGTGCTGGAGAGGTCTCTGGGTGCCTGTGAGTGGTTATTGGGTGATGATTGGGGTCATTGGCGATTGTCAGGGCTGGGTGACTGTTGGGTGGTTTTGGTGGCCCAACCCTGCTTCCCCGAATTTCAGCTTTGGTTTTAGGGATACCCTTCCCAAAGTTTGGGCGGGTTTGGCCATGGCCACTCTTGCTCAAGCATGCAGGCCAGTGTGGTCAGTATGGTGGCATATATATATATGGTGGCTTTCAAGCCTTGTACCTCAAAAAATGCATGCCTGAGCATGGCACAATTGAACTGTTGGTTGGTGGAAGGGTATCCCCGCTGGATTCGACCAACTACTATGAAAGAGTTTTTGTTAAATTGTTGGTGGGTCCAGCAACAGGAAGCCGACTCCGTCTTTTGATACGGAGTCAACCTATGTCAACCTCGCAAAGACATGCTGCTCAGTAGAAACTGTGGGAATGACCCCCTATAAACCATCCCTTGTGGTTTCCTGTCAGGGGACCCCTGGTTCATCCTAATGTTGACCCAGGATTAATACACCCGTCCCATTATTGGGGGGGTGTTCCCTCCAAAAGTGGTCTGAACCCCCCAATCAAAATCAACCAGGGGTTCTGCTTAATCCGGGGTCAACATTACTGAGCACCTAAGAAATGGTTCCCAGTTTCTTGCGAACGGCTGGGAGCCCAAGAGTCTGAATCTGAGGGCCTTGAAGCCCCAAAGGCCTTGGGCTTGCCCGAGGCATTGCCGACCTCTTGCGCGAGAAGCGCGTCTTGGCCTTTGGGGCGAAGCGGTCCGAAGAGGAAATCCGGCGAAGTGCGGTGAAGCAAGAAAAATCCGGGAACCTCCAAAATCAGCCCACAAATCGGCGGGCCGTTTTTTGCTCATGAGCCATGTATGAGCCTGCTGAGAGCCCTTGCGGCACCGGTTGGGTGCTAGTAGCATAGCTAGGAGTAGAAGAAGGTCTGTGATGACCCTTCCACTGGCTCCGAAAATTCAGATCTTGGGACTCGACTTGAAACAGGCGGTCCCAGGGTCGTTGGTTGGCCACCCTGGCATCGGCACGTTGAAATGCTCTCGGACATCTCTAGGCTCTGTACATATATGCCCTCTACCTCATCTAGGTCCCCCAGTAGTGCCCTTTTACCCTCTTTTTGGGGGAGGGCTCCCCTGCTAGAATAGACTACTGCAAAAAGGGTACCCTTATTCTATCCTCTCTACTGGAGGACCTAGTCATGCCACTAGCCAATCTTCAGACAAAATTGAATGTGTCAGGAGCTTTCTGAACATGTTTCCTCCAGCCCCAGCGGGTTTTGCTTCCACAGTTTGCAGCCCAAAACCTCCGATCTTCGCTCTTTTTTTTCCTTTTCGTCCCGTCAAAGCTAGTCCGCCACGGGGTGCTCGTGTGAAGTGACCCTACTATCCTTCGGCTGGTCACAAGCATGCTGCTGGATTTGTGTGTGTGTGTGTGGCGAGCTCAATGATGCCGGGGGGCGGCAAACGATGTTACCTTGATGTAGGCTCTTTACTTGTGCATGCCTTGCTTCAGCTTATGGAAACAGTGCAAACACGATTCTGTTGCTTGACCTCATGTGAATTCTGGATTTGAGCGAGGATGACCATCATTTTACGAGAAGAAATCTGCACATAGTGTAAATCAGTTATTTCCTCCTGAGCGTTCATTCACAGCTTGACACTAAAGTGATATCTCGTGACCAAGTGTGTTTTCCTTGCTGTTAGGGTTCCTTTCAAAATCAACCAAGCTCACTAGAGGTCTGGAAGCAACTTGTGAGAACATGGCCTTGCCAATGTCCAACAACACCCTGTTGTTGAAACGCTGGAGTGATTCGATCCCCAACACAAGTACCAACAACCGTTATTGTTTCTCTCTATTCCCTCCCACCAATTAACATGGAACCTGATAGCGACCCGGTTCCTTAAAATGGATTTCTTTCCAAACCAGGACCCCCCAAACGTTGAACGGTTCCCTGTGGAAAGGGTGGGAGCTAGTAATATCCGGTTTCCCTCAAGTTGGACCTGCTCTCTCTCCAGCTGGAAGCTGCTCCACCCACTTCACGTGCGTCGCCTGTTTCTCTCTGTTAGTAGTGATAATGCATTGGTTTCCCTCTACAAGCAGCTCCCGCACCGATGCGAGGTTTCCTGGGTTCCCACCCCGGAAAAAAATCAATCAATGGCCCCCCACTCGAACGTCGAACGTTTCCGTGTGAAAAGGGGAGCTCGTAATATCCGGTTTCCCTCAAGTTGGACGCTGCCCCCTCAAGCTGCAAGCAGCTCCAGCCACTCGACGTCATAGGTGTCCTTTTTTGGTTTACCTGGTGGTTTAATCATCTACCAGGGAAACCCATCTATTTCCCCTAAAAGGACGCCTATGCTCAACCTGCGCTTCGTCGCGAGTCGGGAGGCATTTGCATCTACCTGAACTGCGTGAGCTGCAATCAAAACCCGGGTAGATGAAGGTTAGTAAGGGACAGTCCCAACCAAAAATAGCTGCGGCCGCCTTCACAATTCTTTACGTGGTTCTGGGTCGAGCATGTTGATACCGGGTTTAGATTATGACTCGCTGTGCGCTTCGTCGCTGGCGAGGCATTCGCATCTACCTGAACTGCGGGGACCACGCGCACATCGGCGACGCCATCTCGGCGCGGCTGAAGCAGCTGGGCCTCGATTGGGACGAGGTGACCACAGACGAGCAGACCGTGGCGCTCTGCAAGAAGGAGCCGAAGCTGGGCGTGGCTCTCGTTATTCGTTTCGTTGGGAACTGCCCCCCTTTTCGCCCTTTGGGGGGTGGTTTTAAAGGGAAACCAAAAGGAAAACCGAAATCCATGTTGGTGTCTCGTTTTGTTGGGAATTCCCCCCTTACCCCAGAAAGCACAAATTGCCAAATATTATTGTTTCTTTTTGCAGAAATCGGCGTACTGTCTCGTTATTCGTTTCTGCCCCCCTTTTCGCCCTTTGGGGGGTCGTTTTAAAGGGAAACCAACCCATAAACCAAAAGGGTTTGAGCCGAAATGGCCGTGCCTCTCTCGGGAAGCCCCCCCCCCTCCCTTGCCCTAAAAAACACACACACACAAATGGTGCAATTGCAACACTTTGGTTGGTTGTTGGCAGAAATCGGCGTCCACCGTACTGTCTCGTTGTTCGCTTTTGTTCGTTTTGGGAACTGGCCCCTTTTCGCTCTTTGGGTGTTGTTGTTTTTTGTATTGAAAACCAAACGGAAAAGCAAAATCAATGTTGGGTCCTAGAAATGACACACCAATGGAGCAAACAGCACTTTTTTTTTGTTTGCAGAAATCGGCGTCCACCGTACTGTGGATGGACAAAGTCTTGCACCAGTTGAATATGTTTGCGGTTTAACCCAGTCTTCCTAGGGATTCAACATATTCAGACTGGTGCCATGATCTTGTCCGCCCACAGTAGGGGGAGGGGCAAGGAGTGGGGGGGGTGAAGGAGTGGAACCTGGGGCAAGGCTCCGAAGTTGCGCAGGTTTCATGGCCGCGTGGTAGCAGCAGAGGGTCTTGGCTCAGTTGTTCAGTGGCACCCTTTTTCCATTTTTGTTGGGTGGCTGCCCCACTAAAAATTGTCTTCCCCAAAAAGGGTTCCCTTTTTTTCCAGGGTCACTGAACAACTGAGTTGGCGTTTCTTTCTTGCGCATTCTGCCAGCACCTTGTGAAGGCTTACCCTTTGTTGCTCATCTGAAGTGGACTGCGCCCACTTCAGATGATAAGCACACCTGGTTCACTGCACGCATCGTAGACTCCACCCGCGGCAGATGAGAAGCACAAATGTTCCGCTGCACACGTGGCTTCACCGGCTGCACCCACAGATGCCAAATTAAAGGAACACTCGCTCAAGCGTACCCTTTGCCAAGTGCTACGCGCATCCGAGCCTTTGCATGCACATGGTCTCAATGTGATATGAACAATTTTCAGGAGAGCAGTTCTTTGAAGAGGGCACTTCTTAAAGCACCCCCTTTGCAGTTCTTCGTTGGCAGGTTGCTCTTCGCTTTGTTTGTTTTGTGTTTTGGTACTGGGCTCTTGCGCAGTTTTGTCTGTTAGGCTTGACCGCCCCAGATGTTTTTTGCCAGGTTTGGAACGGGTAGACCGGAGGGAAATCTCGAGAGGATGGCAACTTTGGATTTTTAAACCTCCAGCATGCTTTGTTTCCAAAGGTGGTTCGTCTCAAAATGATGGCATTCCATGTTTACACTCAATCTTTCAATCCCAGGGGGTGTCCGTTTCTACCAAAAGGGCTTTCTGGGCGCTTTCTTCCGCGCACAGGAGGCGCTTGGAAAGCTAGAGGAGCCAGATGGCTGGAAGGCGCGTTGCGATTGCCAGGGCAGCCGAATTGCAAAAACAAATCCGCTACATGGGTGGCGTCACTCCTCTTTTCTTGAGTCACTACATGGGTGGTGCCACTTAGTTATTTTGCGTTGCCCCCGCTTTGGGTGGTTTTTAGGGGAAAGTTCATGTTGGGTTTTAGAAACGACACACCCAAATGGCCCTTCTGTTCGCGTTTTTACGGGACAGCGCCAGGAAAGCGAGTCATCCTGGTATGTTTACCCTCTCCTTTTTGTGGTTTTCAGAGGGCAAGCGCCAGGAAAGCGAGTCGTGTTGGCGGCTCCGATGCGCGGACCGCAGGCGGTGACGTTGCTCCGCTTCGACTCCCACTTCGCCGCCTTCCGCTGCACCGACCTGGTGATCCGCCGCTCGGGATTTGGTGCGTTGGGCGTCGGACGGCTTCTATGGGCTGGTGCGAGAGGTGGGGCATGTGGGACGGTTTTTTCAGCGTTGACCCAAGATGAATACACCCGTCCCATTGTTAGGGGGGTGTTCCCTCCAAAAGTGGTCTGAATCCAACCACTAAAAGGGGACACCCCCCAATCAAAATCAACCAGGGGTTTATAAATCCGGGGTTAACATTAAGCTTTGGCGCATTTTGCCAATGTTCGGCTTGGATGTTGTAGGACTGAATCAATTTTTGCCAAATGGGTTTTCCATTAAACCACAAGTTTTCAACTTTTAGCAGGGGAGCAGAAAGCAACCGAGGTCCTGCGTGCCTCTCCTTGAATGCCAGAAAGGGGTGCAGCATCTTTGGAACAAGTAACCCTTGGTTGGTGGTTTGGATTGGTGGTCTCAGGCTTGTAGCCGATGTTTAAGATTTCTGTTTGAACCGTTCTTGAAGCCTACCATCCGACTACACAGTAAGGATCGATGTTCTTTCCCTTGAAGGAAGCCACAACTAGGTCCCCCTGCTAGGTGCCCTTTTACCCTTTTTCGGGGGGGGGGGGGGTTCCCCTACTAAAAATGGATAAGCTTTGATGCCTTTTGCCAAGGGATGTTAGGACTTTAACTTTTTTCCACCTCATGGGTTCTCCATTAAACCACTAAAAGTTAAAACTTTTAGCAGGGGAGCAGATTTCGCAACCCAGTCAGATCCTTTTGCTTTCCCTTCAAGGAAACCACCAGTTGGATTTTTTTTTATATATGGGTCATTCCAGGGAATGCGGTTGAATGAAAACCGGTTAACCGGGGCTGGCCATAGGAATGGGATGCGAATTGGAAGGAGGGGGTTTTGGGGAGTCCCGAATCCAAGGAAACGGCCACCAGCAGTTGGATGGTTAAGGGTCACGAGCCATTTCTCAGGGACGACTATCGCACCGATCGATCAAGTTATGGCTGAAGGCCTCGGGGATTTCTTGAGAAATGGGGTGTGACAAGAGCATGGGGCCCAAACCGTCCAACCCTGGTAAACTGAAAAGCAATTAGTCAAAAACCTGCGGCCCCCCCAAATCTCTTAAACATTGAGCCACGGTCAAATGGGGGTGTCTGTTTTTCTGGGGGCCCTAAATGGTGGTTCTCTTTTTGGTTTCCCGAGCAAAGGGGCAGCCTCAAAAAGAGACGTACGCAAATAACGTCTTGTGACCCCCTTTTGGTTGGTAAAGGAAAGCCCAAAGGAAACCAACCATGTGGTTGGTCCACTTGCAAACGGTCAGTGGCCATCTCAATGATGTCTTATAGCCTTGCGAATCTCTGGATTGCAACAGCCCTCTCTTGGCTCCCCTTTTAACCAACATGATGTGAAAAGGCACACTCAGACACACCCATTGCCACTGGTTGCCACTGGGGCGTAGGTGTCGTTTTGATCGGCTATTTCGGATAGAAATAGATAGGTTCCACTGGTTTAAGTTGTTGTTTTTGCCCATGTCCCGGGACACCCATTTATTTCTATCCAAAAGGACACCTATGAACTGCATGCCGCGGAAATCTACGAGAACCCCGAAGTTTTCGTGGTGAACTGTGTTCGCCTCCAAAGTTTGCTATTCCTTGCAATTGGGATAGGCTACACTGCGGCTACACACGAAGCAGACTCTGAACGTCTTTGGCCTACGAGAGTTGAGCCAAGGCAGCCCCAACAAACCAAAGAGCTAAGCCAACAAGCAAGCCAACAAACAAACAACAAGAGCAATCGAACAAGCAATGGCTAAGCAAACAAGCAACCAAGCGAAGAATCAACAAACTAGTGCAAACATATATACCAGCGACCTTCCACAAACCAACAAAAGACACGTCCACCGCAAGTCCTGCGCGTTTAAATTCGCTTCGCGTCCCCCACGTGGAGCGCGCGCGGCTTCTCCCGCGCCGCTTTCGGCGAGCGAGGCATCAGCGACGTGCTGGTGACGAAGCCCTCTGAGCTGGCCTTCTTCCCGGCGCCTCGAAGCCTTCGGGGCTTCGAAGCCCCGAACAAACGGGGAGGTCGCCCGTTTTTTTTTTTTTTTTTTTTTTTTTTTTTTTTTTGTTCGGGGTGCGTGGGTGGGATTCGGAGCAAACATGGGGAGTCGGCCGGCTTCTCTTTTTTGGGGTGGGGTGGGTGGAGTGGGTGGAGTGGGTGGAGTGGGTGGTGTGGGTGGGTGGGTGGGTGGGTGGTGTGGGTGGGTGGGTGGGTGGGTGGGTGGGTGGGTGGGTGGTGGGTGGGTGGGTGGGTGGGTGGGTGGGGTGGGTGGGTGGGTGGGTGGTGTGGGTGGGTGGGTGGGTGGTGGGTGGGTGGGTGGGTGTGGGTGGTGGGTGGGTGGGTGGGTGGGTGGGTGGGTGGGTGGGTGGTGGGTGGGTGGGTGGGTGGGTGGGTGGGTGGGTGGGGGTGGGTGGGTGGGTGGGTGGGTGGGTGGGTGGGTGGGTGGGTGGGTGGGTGGGTGGGTGGGTGGGTGGGTGGGTGGGTGGGTCGGTGGGTGGGTGGGTGGGTGGGTGGGTGGGTGGGTGGGTGGGTGGGTGGGTGGGTGGGTGGGTGGGTGGGTGGGTTTGGTTTGCTTGAGTCTTTTTTTTGTTGGTGAAGGTCTTTTGGTGAAAGGTCTGTTGCTTGGTGGCTCCCAGCCATCCGGTTCCTTAGCTTTTTAGCCTTGTAGTGTTTAGTGGTAGTTTCCATTTAACCCACTAAAAGTTAAACCTTTAGCGGGGGATCTGAGGGCAGCCCAGTTTGGTGAAATTGTTGGTGCGTGGGTGGGTAATTAGGTGAGTGGGTTTGGTTTGCTTGGTTCTTTGTTTGTTTTGGTGAAAGGTCTTCTGAAAGGTCCTTTTGGTAAAAGGGATTTTCCACAGAGATCTGTTTGTTGGTGAAAGGGGGGTTGTCTTTCGTTGAAAGGGATTTGGTTAAATTGGAGTTAAAGGCTTTCTATCGGGATGAATTTGTTGGTTAATCCCTTCTCCCTATTCATAATGAACCGTCCCCCCCGCCCCCGCCCAAGAAAAAGAAGAGCCAACCAACACCTGGGAGGGATTTCCTAGCAATAACCCCCCCCCCCCAAACCCAAAAAAAACTCGGAGGGCTTGTTTTGTGTTTTTGAAAGTTCTTAGGGCGGTGGCTGGCGGCTCGTCTGCGAGGCTACCCAAAACAGAAAGAAGAACAGCAGCCCAAAACCTGGGAGGGCTTTTTGTGTTTGTTGTAGTTCCTACCTGGAGTCTCCATGACCCTTTAAACATGGGTCCATGACCCCATTATTCTCGGCAATGACCAACCATTTTTAAAGGGTCATGCCGGATTTGTAGTTTTTTTCCCATTTTTTTTTTCGGCGGATTTCCGTTTTTCCGGCCTCGCGCGGTTTGCTCCTCCCCCGCCGCGTTTTTCTCGCTCCCGTCGCTCGGTCCGTCGGTCCGTCGGTCCGTGGGCCGCGAGGTGCCGAAGCTCCACATCCGGCGCGTGGGGGCCCACGAGGCCCACAGCGCGGTGAGGGCCCAGGAGCTGGGGGATGGCACCGTGGAGTGCCGCGAGGCCGGGGGAAAAGGACAAAACGGGCGGGGACTGCGCGCGCGCAAGTGTTGTGAAGTTGCTCTTCTGAAAGATGAAGCCAAAACTAGGTCCAGCGCCATTTGACCGTTTGAAATTTTGGGGGAGGGGTCCCCTACAATAGGCTACAGAAAAAACGGTAAATCCTCTCTACTGGAGGACCTAGAAAAAGAGAACAACCAAACACATTATGTTGTTTTTGTTTTGATATGTGTCTGTTATGTTGTTTTTGTTGCTCGTTAGTTTGATTGTGTTGTTTTGTGCTTTTGTTGTTCCTGTTTTTTTTGGTTTGGGGGGGGAGGTAGGGGGTGGGTGGGGGAGTTTGGGTGTGCCTTTTTTTAAGGGGACCCCACTTTTTTTTCAGGGCAAGAGAGGATGGGGGGGTGTTCGGGTGTGCCGTTTTTAAGGTTGGACTCCCCCAAACTGGTGGGCGGTCCTTATGCTTTTCCTTGAAGCACATATAAATAGAGTTGCCCGCACTCTGGGAGAAGCTCGTCCGGCAACCTTTGATTGGTGGTTTGGATTGGAGGTGTGGGATTTGTCACGGCTTTTGTTTTGGTGGTAAATGGGAAACTGCATGGGCCCTCCCTAGTTCCCCTTGCGATGTAAAATGATTTACCCTCCCGACGAAGATGGAAGCTCCCAGGACCCCTCAAGACTTGGCAAACGTACAGAGGCCTGGGAGCTTCCATGCACTGAGGAAGTGTAAACATCACGGCAAGGCGAATTCGAGGTGACGTTGTCCGGGGTGATGTTTGTTGGAGAACTGATACGGAACTCTGCCCTGGCCCATTGAACTGGGTAAAGAGGATCCGAGATCCGATTCCTGGCGCGGCATTGCGAAAGAAAACCACCTGTTTCCCATTCGAATTCCCCGACTTTGGGTTGTTTCGGCTTGGCGAAACCTCGAGGCCTTAGGCGCTTGAAAGGAGAGAGCACATGGATTTCCTGGATATCCCTTTTCTGGTTTCATAGGGCCGGCGCCTAAAAGGACAGAACACGCAAGTTGAGATCTCTAAGTCAGGGAGGAAGCACTTGAAATACCACTTCTCTTAGCAAGTGGTCAATACCCCCATGTTATTCTACTATCCTGAATAAAGCTCATCTCGGCGACCTATTAATCATGGATATTATCCAGTTCCCAACAATCATGGAAATGGATTGCAGGGTTTTGGAACATTCCATTTTTCGCGTGAAACGGCCCATTGCTCACTTTCATCGGGAGAAATGGGTACAGGGTTCTACTTTTTGTCTACTTAAACCCAGGGATTCTCCTTTTGGGGAGAGTGAACCACCCTCGGATTAATTTGAGTATAGGGTGGTCAAACAGTAGAACTCTGAATTGGTAGTATCCCGGAGGTATGTGGGCTATAGGATGGTTAGGCAAAATCGATGGCTTGGGCTGATGTGCAGCTCGATGGCTTAGTTGCGAGTTCGCAAGTTGGGCTGGTCGGTTAAGGGCGCGAGCCAGCCACAGGCAGGGAATCAGAAATGGAATGAACCTGGCGGCCCCCTTAAAGGAAACCACAAGGGATCGATAATTATAGCGGTCATTCCAACTCGTTCCCTGCTGAGCGCCAGCAAGGGCTAAAATGTCGGAGAGTGTCGGCCCCCACCCAGTACTGTATTAGTTAGTCAGGCAGCTCTGCCCGTTGTCGTTGTTTTAGCTTTGTTCAGTGCCAGCCAATAATGCTAGAAGTCCCCTTGTTCACAGGTGTTCACCCTAAACATCTCGATTGAAGGGTTGACCTCAAGACGGGCCTTTTGGGCGAAGATGCTTAGGCTCAGCTCCAAACTTTGAGATGCAGGGTTGAGCCAGAGTTGCCCACTGACCTTGCTCAGTCCACATCTACGTAGCTGATTCAGATAGAGCACAGTGAGCCACCTCCGAGAGGCTGCGAATCTTTTGGGAAAATCGAGCTAGGGTGGATGCCCTAAACTTTGCATGTATGGACAAAATGGAACCCCGTAGTTATTAAATGAAATTCACCGGGCTTCTGCGGTTAGCGGTTCACTTGTAAATTGGTAGGCGCAGCCGGTTGGATTGGGCATCCACCGCTCACGCGTCGCCGAGTCGCCAGGTTCCTCACGCCGTGTCCAAGCTGAACCAACTGATCGAGGACCAGAGTCCTCTCTTCAGACTTCTGAACGAGTGCATCATCAAGGACCCTCACGTCGGGTGCTTGCAAAGGGGACACGATGGGTTTGTTTGTTTGTTTGTTTGTTTGTTTGTGTCATATCGCAGTGCTGATGGTTTGCTGCGCAAATACCAGAAGCTCTGCAAGAACGTGGAGCGTGATTGTTCTTATCTAAGATCACATTTGGAGGCTCATCCATTTAATTGAGATTCTTCAAGGGCAACCGTTCAATTCTTCCTTTGGTTTCAACCACCAGGGATTAATCCTCAATCATTTTCTTGAAGACCAACCCGCGGCAAAACTCCCGCCGCTTACCACCCAAGTGTTTGATTTTGGGGTGGCTGGGTATCGTTTGTTGAACCCGTTTAGACAGGTAGAACACAAACGGGTTCCGATCGCTTGAATACAGGACAGTGGGTGCAGTATCCGAAAGGAACCCGTTAGAAGTCATTGAACGGGTTACTTCAAGTATGGCATTTTTACAGACCTTACTTGGGAGACACACATGTATTTATTGACCAGAGGTTCACTAAAATGCCACAAAGTTGTTTGAGCCAGGTGTGTTTATGAGGAAAGCACAAAAACAGCTCCACCAGAGGCGGCCTTTCGGGGTTGTTTGCCAGTGATTCCATTTGCCTAGTAAAACGACAAGGACTTGGTGGCAACTGGGATCCACTGGGCTTTGAGGCAAGGAAAAAGAAGCTAAACGGAGCATGCTACGACCTTTTAAAGGGGCCTCAAAATACTCCCTTTTTCCAATTTGTTTGGTGGCTGCCCCACTAAAATGGTCTTCCCAAAAAAGGGTTCCCTTTCTGTTCCAGGGTCACTGAACAACTGAGAATATGTTGCTGCTTGGTGGGTTCGCACTAGACTCGAAAAAATGGTGGTGGGTTCACAAAAATGGTCCCCCAAAACGACATGGCTTCCCCCTCTGCTACTCCACAATCCTGCAAAGAAGCGGGTTCCAAAACACAACCTTGTTTTGAGAGGAGATGAGAGGAGAAACCTGGATTCCAAAAGTATAAGGATGTATACGGAAAGTATGGGTTTTGTACTGCTTTTATACGGATTTTGTACGTTTCTTGTACAGGTTTTAGGAAGCAAAACCTGGTTCTTCAACCGAAAGCCTGGTTTTCGACCGGGTAGCAGGCGCGAAGCCCGTTTTTGGCTGCCCGCCCCACCTTTTTGCAGGTTTTGGCGAGTAGCATGTAAACATGGTCAGTCCCAAAGACTGGTTGATTCCCAGCCATCCGGTTCCTTAGGTTCTGAGCTTTTTGGTTTAGTGGAAACAACTACCACGAAGCCACCAACAGCTTTCAACTTTTAAGGGACTCCAAAAAAAGCCAGTCTAGAAAAGGACCACCCTTTCTGCAAAATCTCCAGGTTGCCAACCGGGGGGAAAAAACAAAAACATCCGGAGTCGCTCGCCCCCCGTCTTCCGATCTTCCGATCTTCCGACGTCGCGTTTCGCGTCGCGTCGAGAGGCTGCGGAGATGAAGCTCTACGACGGCAGCCGCGTCGCCTGTGAGCTCGCCTTCGGCGGAGATTCGAAGGCGGCGCCGGCAGCGGCGTCGAAGCCGCCCGCGGCTTGGCCTGAAGGGGCGCAGGCGGTGGCATGAGGATGGTCCCACCGATTTTGGTGGGAGTTGGTCAAAAGCTGGAGCCTCTTTTGGTTGGATTTAAGGGGAATCCAACAGGAAAACCAAAGCTAGTTTATGATAAGAACCACTGATTTGGTGGGAGTATGGTCAAAAGCTGGTTTGAAGATCCCAAGGTTGGGCAAAATGTGTTTTTTTTTGGGGAGCCTCTTTTGGTTGGATTTAAGGGGAATCCAACAGGAAAACAACCTATTTGGGGGATTCCTCTAAAGACTGAGCCACCAACATGAATGAAACACCTGCACTTGACCAGACATGAGTTTTCATTGGTTTCTTGTACCGCCAAATTTCTACCCCCTTTGCCCAGGTCGGCCTTTTCGAAGTCAGACTTTCATGGGCTCGAGAGCGGAAATCCTTGCAGTTTCCGAATTTAACCCATTAAAAGTTAGTCACCTGTTTCGCAGGGGATCATAAAACGGGCAGACAAAAGAAGTCAGCTCGATTCTTGCGGGCTTCAACTGAGCCAAGTTGATACTTCCCCTTGTCAGGACCTTTAAAGGGTCCCAGCCTGCAGGCCTTTTGGAAAGCACCTGGTGGGCCAAAAGAGCGTTGGCCATCTACCCCTTGTGGTTGAAAAAGGATCCAAGGGGAAAAGGAGCAGCGGGACAGTTTCGGATGTGTTGAATTCAAACGGGACTGTGCCGTCACTCTTCTTGTGTTTGTGTTTTTGTTTTTGAGTTCTTGGCCATTGAGAACACGACAAGTTTTGCTTCAGTGCTCTTGATATGGGTGTGCCTTCTTCTCCGGGACCCCACAAAGTGATGCTTTGCCTTTTGGCATCCCTTTGAAACCACCAAACACCCAGGTACCCTCCAAAAAGAGAGAGACGCCCAGATATTTTTTTTTGTGTTCGCTTTGATTTGACAGGGGGTTGTCACCAGCTGAAGAGTGGGCACTACGTGTTGCTTCTGGAGCTTTGTGAATAATTTGTGAGGGGCTGCAGAGAAAAAAGGATTTGTGTTTTTGAGGGTTCCCTTCTTGGATTGTGTTTAAGGGAAACCAAAGGGAGAGTCTCCATTTCTGGGTTGCCCTACTTGGGCACAGCCCCTGTTTTGGAAGGGCCCCAAACGAAAATAAACAACATGCAACCCCCCTATCGGACCTCGTTGAGAGCAGGTTGACATGGCTGTGGAGCGGTTAGTTTGGTGGAGCATGGCTGGAGTCTGGTTTCAGAGTGCTTCCTGCTCATTTGGGTGTGGCTCAATTTGTTTGACTTTGCCAGGGGACCGCCGGTTTGTGTTTGCGTACTTGTCCATTCACCAACCCATTTCAGGCCGCTATTTCTGGTTGCCACACCCGTTAAGCAACGGAATATTTGCTTTTTCCAAAAGGACATCGAGTCGGCGGCCAAAAGAGCAGATTATTGAACACCTGCTTTTGATGGGCTTTGTTACCGGGGCTCCCCAATTGATACCAGGGATATGCTATTCTAAAACCATAGGTATCTGTTTTTTGTCGTGTTGTTTTTTCTTCTTTTTTTCTTTGCGAAGCGCGCTTCACGTTGAATCAGAGTGAGAGTATTAAACAAACAGTTTCAACTGGCTCAGAGTCAATGCATGTTTGTTCAGCAACACCAGGTCCCCCAGTTCACAGACTTGCTTGATTTTAACATGCTTGAACATTGGCCAAGGGCCCAACCTGATGTGGTTGCTGATCAATACACCGTTCGGCCCCCGGTTTTGACCATGGGAAACTTTTCCCATGTGGGAAAACTCATCTTAGTGGTTTTCCAATGGCCATCCCATATGTCACGGACCTTTTGATCCATCCCCATGTGAGTTTCTGTCTACGTTCAACCCGAGGCAGCGGAGAAGATTGAGGCTGAGAAGCCGACGGTCCAGGCCTCCAGAGCATTTCCTGATCTCGGAAGGGGCGCTCCCTTGAATACGCTAAAAATGCTCTTTCCAGAGGGTCCAAGTGCCTTCCAAGGAGGTACTGAACGACCCCTTTTACCCCCCCAAAAGCCAGCCATCAACTCATGAGGTACCCTCTGGACCCCTGGGCTGTGGACAGAGCGAGACTTCTCGCTTGAGCTCATGGACTTGAAGCCTTTTGGGGTTTGGACCATCTTGGCGGTCAACTTTGCAACACATCGGACCTCATTTTTTGGGGCGGACCCACGATGGCAGCCGCGATGTTTGGAGCACCGCGCTTTTGTTCTTTTCGCAGAAGCATGACGGGAGTTTCACACCCACGTGTGTCTTAGTGTGAGCTTGCGCGGGCTTCCAATGGGCGTCCGTGTGTTGGGTGTTCCCATGTACTAGGTTCATGGGTTCACCATTTCAGGCAAAGCACCGAAGCCCGTGTTCCCACACAGGGGGTTTATCAAAATTCATTTGGACACAAAAAAAAAAGGTTGCTCATTGATTGCAGGTGCAAGTAGGTGCAGGTGCAAGTAGGTGAAGGCTAGTAGGAACTGTCCCACCCCTGAGATCGGCCCCTGTTGATGTTTGTACATGGTGTTGGGTAGACTTTTTTGTCCAGTTTTTCAAGTTTGTATTCTGACTTGAGTGAGTCTTGGTGAACGTTTCCCGAAATAGGTTCGAATGAAGCAGTACCACAGTCCCACAAATTGGGCTTGGTTCCCCTTTTACGTATGATTTTCAATCATCCTTTCAAAGACTCGCCTTTATCCCTGCCTAGAGTCTCCATGACCCTTAAAAAATGGGTCAACGACCCCGTTATTTTAGGTAGTAACCCCATTGTTTAAGGGTCATGGAGACTCCAGGTGAGTCCTGCCATGTAAGTCAAGGGAACCAAGCCAATTTGGGACCGCTTCCAAAGCGCTTTGAACCCCATCCGGCTTTTCAATCGGAGTCTTTGCTGGGGAGTTTGGCGAAAGGAGCCCAACAAGGGGTTCAATCCCCAAACGGATATATGTTTGTTGCTTGGTTGTTCTCTTCTTTTTCTTTTTCTTTTCTTGGGGGGGATGTTTGTCTAGAAGACGAATGGAATCGCCACAGTCTTGACTTGTATTTCACAACTCGGGGAAGCTTGAACCTCCGGAGAAGCGATAAGATGCAATTCACGCGCAGGCTGGTTCTTCAGATGTCTGGCCCCAGTTGCCCCAGTGTCCTTTCGTCCCAAGAATCCCGGAAGCTCGCAGGGATTCGGAAGACCGTCTTGCCCCAGCTGTGTCCTTCCAGCCGGTTTCAGTGGACTGGGTGGCGTTCTGGGGTCTGCTTGCTTAGCGTCACTGAGTCACTTGGCTCCTTGAGACTTTGGGTTGCTGCAAAGCTGTGTGATAGATGTAATAAAACCATGAACTGACGGCAGTTGATACAACATGCAGTTATTACAATAATATTTTAATATATATTGAGTCTTTGTCTGATCCGAATCTACCATGATAAGTTTTTTCGGCAACGCTCGGGTAACCCCATTTCAACGCTCAGGAGACTCCAGGTACAATTCCATGTGGAGCGTGTCTTTGCCCAGAGCGTAGCGAAGGGTTCCCGTTTATAGTCTGGGGGTCTGGGCGTTCCCTTGATTCTCACCAATAGAATGGCGCGGAGTAAGTTCGCCCGGAATAAGAATACACTGTTGTTCGTGACTGGAGCCACCCGCTTCAAAATTGCTCCGTGAGTATCTTGGACCTTTTTCGCCGTCGTTTGTTTTTTGTAACGAGGAGAAGGTGGTGGAGAAGGTGGCAGAGAAGGTGCCAGAGAAGGCGCCAGAGAAGGTCGCCGCTCCCAAGGCCGCGGAAAAGGCCGCTGCTTCAAAGAAGGCGGGCGGGCGTCTTTTGTTTTGCGGGGGTTGCGAGCCCTTGTCTTCACTCTGTTCTTTTTAAGGAGGGGGGCTGCAAGCAACGTTTAAGTTGTTTGCACGCCCATGCCAAGGGCTGGCAAGTTGTTTCCAACCTTTTTCCCCAACAGCAGGACTGATGTTCTTCGTGTGTGTTTGGATCGGGTTTTGCTTCTTTCAGTTGGGCACGGCGCAAGTCGCTTTCGTGTTGTTTGTTTGTGTGGATTGGTTTGGCTGTTTTCCCCGACAGCTTCTTTGTGTGGTTGGGTTGGGTTGGGTTGGGTTTTGCTGGGTTTGGTTTGGTTTGGCTCGGTTTGGTTTGGTTGGGCTTGGTTTGGTTTGGCTGGGCTTGGTTTGGTTTGGTGTTGCTGGGCTCGGTTTGGTTTGGCTAGGCTCGGTTTGGATTGGTTTGGTTAGGTCTGATTTGGCTCGGGTTTGGTTTCGCTCGGTTGGTTTGGTTTGGCTCGATTTTGGTTTGATTTGGCAGGGTTTGGGTTGGTTTGGCTCGGATTTTGTTTGGTTTCGCTCGGTTTGGTTTTGTTTGGTTTGGCTCGGTTTATTTGGTTTGGTTTGGTTTGGCTCAGCATGGTTTGGTTTGGCACAATTTGGGTTTGGGTTGGTATGTCTCGCTTTGTTTTGGTTTGGTTTGGCTCGGTTTGGCGTGGCTTGGTTGTGCTTGGTTGGGCTCGGTTTGAATTGGGTCGGCTCGGCTTGCTTTGGTTTGACTCGGTATGGTTTGAATTGGTTTGGCTCGGCTTCGTTTAGTTTGGTTTAGGTTGGCTCGGTTTGGTTTGGTTTGATTTGGTTTGGCTCGGTTTGGTTCGGTTTGGGTTGGCTCGGTTTGGTTTGGTTTGGTTTGGCTCGGTTTGGTTTGGCTCGGCTTGGTTTTGTTTGGTTTGGTTTGGTTTGGTTTGGCTCGGTTTGGTTTGGTTTGGCTTGGTTTGGTTTGGTTGCGCTCGGTTTGGTTTGGTTTGGCTCGGTTTGGATTGATTTGGCGGGGTTTGGATTGATTTGGCGGGGTTTGGTTTGGTGTCGCTCGGTTTGGTTTTGTTTGGTTTGGCTCGGTTTATTGGTTGGGTTTGGTTTTGTTTGGTTGGGTGGGGGCAGCTGATTGCGGTTTTGTTATTTTCCTTTTGGAGAGCGTTCCGTATGGTTGCGGGAGTTTACCGGGCTGTTAGGGGTACCTTGGAGGGGGTAGGGTTTTTCTTGAGAACCAACCAACCTGTTGATTTTTTTCCCAACAGCTGAAAGCTTTGGGGTCTCAGCCCAGATAGGCTCTGGGGTGGTCCGGGACGGCCCTGAACTAAGGTTCGACGAGGGTTCCACCAGGGTTCCACGAGGGTTCCACGGCTGCGGGGTGATGCGAGAACTACGCCACAATCAACACCCGGGTAGATGAAGGTTAGTAAGGGACAATCCCAACCATAAATAGCTGCGGCCGCCTTCTTGATTCTGTACATGGTGCTGGGTAGACCATTTTAGTACTGGGTTTTGAATATGACTCATCTGAGCTTGTGGGGGGGGGGGGGGGGCGGAATCCCTGTAGCTTTAGAATCATCTAACAAAAAAAGGCTCCCCCTTTACACTGTTTTGTGCAGCGAAAATTGACTGAGGGGTAGACGGCTGCTGTCCTGAAAGTTGTCACGGGAAAGACCCAAATTGGTATCGCAGAAATGGTGATGTTCCACAACCGTGGGCTGATCTGCTTTCAGCCAGTCTCTCAGCGGCTCATTTACCACTTGATATTTTTTGCCGTTGCCATGGTCCATTACTTGCTGGTGCTCAGTAGGGAATGACCCAGGGTTTTGGGAATGAACCCAGGGTTTCCCTTAAACAAAAACAATAAAATATTGTTTATGGGGGTCACCCCCTCATTCTCTGCGGTAGCTGATTGGGGCCTTGCGGTTTCGGCTCCGACCTCCGACCTCACGCAGGGGAAGAAGGAGAAGGCAATGGCTTCGGCGTAGGAGAAAGTTCGGGTTTTGCCGCGTAGGTTCGTTGGGGTTTGCACCTTGGACTTAGGTTCTTCAGATCAAAACCTAAGGGTCCAACGAGTCCAATGCGGGCTGGCCAAAACGTGTTGAGCCCAGCCTATGTTTGTTAGGCCTGAAGCTTGTGGAACCCATGCTTTGACAGATTGACTTTGCGCAGTTGGGGTCCCGGATGTTTACGGAAAGGAGCTAACCTGTCTTGTTGGGCCAAACAACTGTGACAAGCCTTTGGGGAGATCCTAATGACTAAACGAACGGCAACTACCGAATCTTCTACCAGTTCCCTTGGTTGCGACCCACACATGAGTCCCTCAAAAGAATTCATGTTTCTATGGCTGGGGAATCCTGGAACACTGCGCATGACACCCAGTGCTGGAAGAGCAGCTAGGGAGGGCAACCAGGCGAGTGGTAACTGGAAGCACAGGGGCGTGTTCAATATGTCTGCGTCTGTGTCTGTGTCTGAGTGTCTGTGTGTGTGTGTGTCTCTGTGTGTGTGTGTGTCTCTGTGTGTGTGCCTGTGTGTGTGTGTGTGGGTGTCTGTGTCTGTGTGTGTCTCTGTGTTTCCGTGTTTGTGTGTGTATTTTCGAATGTAGCCGGTTGAATAAAAGGCATGCCAAAAGGAAGTCACCCAGTTTTGATGCCCTTATTGTGAGACATACCCAATTGTTTTCGCAACCCAACTCAATCTTAGCGCAACCCCCGGAGGTTTTTAATCTTTCCTGCCGCAAGTCTCCTGCGCCTCCCCAACTTCCGCGTCAGTCACATTGTCCTGCGATGAACATGAACCACCGCCTTAAACATCGCCAGGTAGGTGGTTACTCCCAATATTCTCTTGTTGATGGGTTCAAACATCATCTTTTTGGCCGATTTAAGGTGAAGTTGTGCTGGGGCGGGTGATGTTGGGAGGAGACGTCTGAGAAACCCGGTTTATGACGAAGTGTCTCAAAGGCGGAACACTTGGTCGGGGCCTATGGAGACTTGGCTGGCAGGGATTAAAGAGTTCCCCCAGTCACGAAGTGCTGGCTGGCTTGATTGGTTGGATAAATTGCCTTGGCGCATGCTGGGAATGTTTGAACTTTCCGGTGGTCAGCAGGCTGTGCAGGATCTGATCAGCATCAAACATGCTGCGCAGAAGAAAACCGTTAGGAGGAGTCTCTTTGACTATGAATTTTAATAGGGATCCACCTCAAAAGTGGTTGGTGGACATGAATCCTAGCCTACATGATGTCCATCAAAGGGTAGCGCGTTAAAGATTACAAACATGTTCTCGTTACTGCTATTGGGTTGGATATCTTTAGAATCTTTAGACTTTAACTTTTTGGGAATTCAAGGGGTTTTCCACTAAACCCACAAAAGGTTAGACTTTTTGCAGAGGGGTCAACAGCAACCAAGTTCTTGAGCCATGCATTGCTCTTTTGGAGAGAGCCGCTAGCTTCTGACCAGAGCCGAGAGTCTGATTCGGCGTCAAAAAAAGTCGGCTGGCCGCCGATTGAGTGCCTATGACCCGAGCGCAGGAGATTCGGGGGGTGATTTGGGTGTGCCTTTGTGTAGGACCGCCCCCCCTAAAACGGTGAGTTGTCCTTTTGGTTTCCGTTTAAAGCCACAAAGCAAAACACCCATTTGAACAACATATATTGGGCCATCAGGTCTCTTTACTAAAGGGTGGTGTTTGAAGGGCATATAAAAGGAACACTGACGTTCTTAACCATGTGTCACAACCGCTGGGATAAATGGCGCTGTTTTGAGAGCCTTCTGTTGATCCGTCGTTATGACAGGCTGTGGCCGGTTTTTTAGCGTCTAATCCGTGGATTCGATTGGCCAACTCTCCATGTTGGACAGCCCAGCGCGATTCACTTCGATTTGCCCGAGAACTCGCTAGGCAAAAAAAACTCAGAGAAAGCCTCGCATGCGCAAACGCCCAAAGAGAGCATATATCAAGAACGAATTGCATGGACCCATATGCCGAAAGACACAACGACGTTGGTTTTCCATCTGGGTCCATGCGGGAAGTGTTGAATTTGCCGTGTTGAGAAGGGCGAAGTATGTACAAACATTTGCCTCTGCTCTCATGACTTCAGGGTTGAAGTACACCGCAGCCTCATTCGAATGACTTAGGCCATGTTTTTTTTAGAAGCCTGGTCCACCTGGGGTTTTCGGAATGAAGTAAAGGAGCCTCAAAGGACAGTCGGATCTCAGTTGTTCAAAGCAAAGACGACCTTTTGACCTTTTGGTTTTCCCTTGTTGGTCTACTTTTAGCAGAGGTCCCAAAAGGTGATCACCTTGTATTTCCAGGTCCTTTGGGCAAGTGAGTGATGGTTCAGTGTGGGGTCTCAGGCGCCTCTTGCGTCTCGGCGATGTAAGGCGGCGCGCAAGTGGAGGGTACAGCCCGTGCACGCGCTAGAGCTTTGGAGGCTGCCCATTTGTATTCTTTGCAATCGTGTCCGAAACAACCTTGGTGGTTCCCAGCCATCCGGTTCCTTAGGTTTGTTGCTCTTTGGGGTCCAGTGGTAATTGCCACTAAACCACAAGTTAGACTTGTGGAGGGCATGTGGGAACAGCACAGCGGCCTTGTTGATCTTGTTGTAATCGCCTTCTCCCAAAATCCCCTCCTACCCCAAACAAAGCAACAACCAAAGAATCTTAGGTGGTACCCTCCGGAACCGAATCTCTGGAACCCTGCCTGAAAGTTGCCAGCTGCGGCCAAAGACATGCCCCTAGGCGCCCAAGACCCCACAAAATCAGCCAGGCTTCGCTATTGCGAAGTCTTGGGCTCCTAGGGTGCGGGGGAAAACATGTCTAACAGGGGCAGGGGGTCGGAAAGAATTTCCACACTCAGCCAATGAAGGCCGCCCCTTTCCTCCAACGGCCATCGCAGAACTTTCTACGTGGGCTCAGCTTTAACGGGGGTTGGAACCCCCGTTAAAACCACAAAAAAGGGTAGTAAAACTAAAACAACGTACGCCCGCAATAATTCTAAGAGAACCGGTCAATGACAGTTTCGGTATTCCGGAATAGGGCTGCAAATGCAACTCTTCACTGTTGAATAGGGAAGTGCAAAAAGTGCAGCCGAATGCAGTAATGGTTGTCAGGAGTTGAGTGTTGGTTTAGGATTGGGTACTTGAATAATAATAATATATATACAAATATATATATATATATATATATATATTATTATTATTATTATTATTATTATTATTATTATTATTATTATTATTATTATTATTATTATTGTTGTTATTATTATTGAAAGTATTATTATTATTATTATTATTATTATTATTATTATTATTATTATTATTATTATTATTATTATTATTATTATTATTTATTATTATTATTATATTAGTATTATTATTATTATTATTATTATTATTATTATTATTATTATTATTATTATATTATATGGTTTATTATATTATATTATGTTATGTTATAGTATATTATGATATATTATATTATGATATATTATTGTATATGAGATATTATATATATATACCACATATATTATATTATATATTATTTATAGAGTTATACATATACACACATATGTGTTTTTATAGGTGTGGATTTGATAGGAAACGACTATAATTGTGTAATATTATGGTTGGTTGTGTTTATCCCTGGCTCCAGTCACTCACAATGTAAAGCTGGGATTTGAGCCAGTAGAGTGAGCTATGAGTTCACAGCACCCGATTTGTTCGGGCCAGTAGTTCCAGCAGTGTCCGTTTTTTTCATGGAATTGTCCAAAATTCCGGAAGGGCACAGGCATAATCTTGACGATGTCCGGAGTTTTCAAGGAGTGAAGACGATTGTGCGTGGAGCACATTGTTTGGCCTGATCAACCTATATCTACGGCACTGGCTCTTGTGCAGGCAGTTGTGAATGGAACCCATGAGTGCTTTTCTGTAACAGGCAGCACCTCAACTTTGGAGTGTCTTAGCATCTTGGCTCTTGAGCTTGCCCATACTTTGGGGAAGTCCAGAAAGGAGTCCTACTTTTCAGACGCCCGCTGCGCTTCGTTCCCGTCTCGCGAAAGCCTCCGGAAGCTCGAGCCGCGCACGGAAGTGACGAGTCTGTGATCGAAAATCGGGTGCCGGCTGCCTGAAACCATTGAGCGGGCAACGCGGGTAATTAGGGCAATTTGTTGAGTGGGATGCGGGATTCTGTGCCGAGGGACTTCCCGACAACACTCCGACATTGTTTCTTGTACAGGATGCGTTGCAACACAAATCATGCGCATGGGGGTTGATCAATACTCCGCTCGGCCCCCAAGTGACCACGGGTAACTTTCTTCATTTAGTGGTGAAAGTCTATTTTTTGGTGGTTTCCCTGATGGTCATCCCATGTAAAGGACCTTTGATGAACCCCCACATGCATGTTGAGCGATCTGTGATCACAATCCAATCCATTGACGTTGGTGCGCTCTCTTTGTATTAAAAAGCAGACTTGGTATAAGCAGTTAGAAACCATCGCGTGGCCCCAGTGGCCCAACAAGGTCTGGCGCTGGTGGCCACAGTGGCCCGTTGGAAGATGATCTTGGCGCTTGATCCATAGCTTTGCCCTTGGGGGCGTGAGTTGAAATCAGTTGCTAGGTGCCCCAGCGATCGGTGCCCTTCCTCACCGTTTCTTTTTTGGTGGGGAGGGTTCCCCTAGAATAGACTACAGAAAAAAAGGGTACCCTTATTCTTTCCCCTACTGAAATAGACAGAACCAAAAAACATCGGGCACCAACTTATTCTAACCTCTCAAATCCGGAGGACCTAGTTTGGCACCTATTTATTTTGGCGGGCACTAGGATGTCTTTGGTTTCGGTGGCCTGAGCATTTTTTCAGGTATCTCAGTGTGAGTTTCCCTGTATCTGTTTATGAACATACCGGAAACTCGAAACCCTGCCGTCTTTGGGGCGGAAAGACTGAAAGACTCCATACATGTTTTCCAACTAGGTAGAACGAGTTCGCCAAAACCTAGAATCTATC